ATCTCCTCTGATACCAGCTCTCTGCTCCTTACTCTGCATGCTGCCTTCTCATACACACTCCACTTTTCAGTTCTTAGCTTCCAGTCTATTCCTTCAGTGGGCATGACCTTCCTTTATTGTTTGGAATTCAGACATTGGATTGGTGGCTATTTTTTGCACAAATAAGAAGGCAATAAAAATGATTAAGTAAAGCAAGTCTGGAAGGACTTCTGACAAAAGTCTTAAAACCAATACTTGAAGAATTAGATAATAGTAACATTTAGAAGATACTTTGGGAATTCATGTACTTTACAAACACAGCTGTTACTTATAGTTCAGTAGTGGAGTAGTATTAACAAAGTTCTGATTACTAAAATATTAGATATTGGTTTAGCATTTGTATATCTGTATGTGACTATCACTAACACTTAAAAATAAAAATAAAATTTCTTATGAAAGGTGATAGAGTTTTACATTCAGATCCAAAATTAACAAGCACGTGTAGTTATCTAGTTACATTAGCTTCTTTCCTCCTTGAAGTCCCTATAATCAGTAATTAAAAATTGTTTTTACAGATGTTTCTGTACTTTGAAGATCATGGACTAGTGACATGCTCTGCAGATCATCTCATTATTTTGTGGAAAAATGGAGAACGTGAATCTGGACTGCGCAGTTTAAAGTTATTTCAAAAATTAGAGGAGAATGGTGACTTATATCTTGCTGTCTAGTTCAAGGAATTTGGAACACCTGTGCATGAACCTTGAACATCAAATATAGGGTAATACTCTGAAAACCAATTACCGTATTGATCACTTAAATTTTGTAATTTTTTTTTCTTGTTACACCATAAAATTCCGGTTGTTTGAACTCCTTTTTTTCTGGGCCTACAAACCAGCAAGTTGCTTATCAGATATTAGTATATTCATCAAATATAGCACAACTTTTCACTTGACTTTTCACATAGCAGTTGGTTTTTACAAAGTGAAGTTTTCAGATTTTAGTACAAATGTGTGTTGAAGAAGAATATTTAGAGAAAGATTTTTTTATGCTTAAAAAAAGGGAGGAGGAGCTGCTGCTTTGCGCCAGGACCGGAGAACGTACGTAGATCTTCTGTCAGATATGCCACGCAATGCTCATTGTCCTTTTCATATTCTTCTATTGTACTGTATTTTTCTCCATTAAGCAGTTTTCATTTTTAATTTAAACCAGTGATTGTGAACATTATTTGGTTTTGTGCAATAAGCAGGGGTAAGCGTGTAAGTCCTTCTCTCCTCTCTTTTTGGCTTTTAATTTTCCTCCATAATGGACTTTGGAGAGTCTGCCTTAGGTTATGAGTTTATAAAATTGTTTTCTTGGATTGTATACAGTATTACTTGAATTATAAAAAGGAATTCATAGATTTCTAACTGCCTTATTTCTTACGGATTAGTAGTATGATTAGTAGTATGTGATAATCTAATCTATTCACAGGGAATGATACAAACCACAGGTGAGTTTGGAGAGCAAACAGTATGGTAAGTACCTCTGTTATTAATGTCTGGAAGCCTCCAACCCATTCATGAGACTCACTGTTTTCTTCCATCTCTGACCTTAGTGCATTCAGGGAAGCAGAAACCATTAAGATGGTAGAATCCAGCAGGGACTCAGACTTGATGGCTGCTCAGTAGTTACAAGTTGAACTTTTAGAAGAATACAGCTATAACTGAGGTTGATATATATTATGTACATTTTTTTCCATTTCCCTAGGTTAGCTTTCAGTGCTATTGTATTTGCAACATCAGAAGTGATACTATGTGGCAGACCTTGTAATTTTTATTTAACAATAATACCCTTATTACCTCATTCTGTACTTTATTCACATAACACAATCAATAGCTTAAATTTTGGGAACTTTCTATCATCCTTTCCAGTTATCTTTCTCAAGGTGAGTGAGTTCTGCTTGAGCAGATGAGGCTTGTTCTTTTGCCCCCAAGACCTGACTCTGAAGGCAAGCAAATTCTAAAATCTTAAATTGGAAGTAAAGAATAAATTATAGTTAGTTATTGTGGTCCAGATAACAGTGTTTTATAACTGACTTCTCTGTCATTAATATGGGTCCCCTCAATACAGAATATTTTAGTAAACAACTCACTATGGGAGACTATACCCATTTGATAAACTGGAGGAATGCACTGTTTAGTTAGCAACTCAGTAGAAGATAACACCATAGAAGATTATACTGATAAAGACCCGAGCAGAGCTATGCTAAAGCAGAGCTATGCTGGCAGTCTTACTACGAAATTAATTTCACATCAGAGTGAGTAAGCTTTAACATTCATATAGGAAAATGTCAGACATCTGACGAATGTCACTTACCAAATGGAACCAAAAGCAAGATGGTCAGGAAAAGACTGTCATCTCAAGCAAGCTTCTGCAGCCTGGGCAAATTATTTAGCTCCTTAAAATGAGATTCTGACATCATGAATTTAATGTATTCTGAAAACAAAGTGTGTGACTCATGACATAAAGAACACTAAATCAACATTTTGAAATTACGAAAAACTTAGGCCCAAGAGGTAAAATAAAAACAGCTGTTGGGAATGAAAAATGGCTGTAGGAATTTAGTTACAAGTACTTCACGAAAACAAACATTTTCATCACATTTACATAGCGCAGCATCACAGTACAAAGCGAGCTGCTATGCTGATCAGGCAAGTCCTTTCACCATCTAACAAAAGTAATTTAGATACATTTCTTTGCATGGAATTGTCATGTATGTTTCCATTTTTTGGTACAAAACATAGAAAAAAACATTGGCACATTATGTAGTGATAAGTCATTTTTTTTCTTCCCATGTACTAGTTCCAAGTGTTCTGCATTCCGATTTTCATCTGAAAAAAGCAACTACTGATTCAGTTAATCTCTATTTATACCTCTTAGAAATGCAGCCTGGAGTACAGAGAATTTGAAAAAACCAAAGATTTTGTTTACTGAGTTTCTAATATTTATAATACAGAGAGAAGGGTTGGTAAAAGAGAAGGGAAAACCTCAAGTCTGACTTCATGTAGATCACAGAAAGTTGTGAAAACAGCTGTATAAAAATATGCACTTGTGCTTTAGAAGCTTTTAGCATACAATTAATAGCTTAAAATAGTATTTACTGCTTCCTCATATACGTATTTTGATATATTTACACATATCTTGCGATCTTTTTTTTACATCATTAAAGCAAAATGGCATGATCTTAAATATAGATAGGTTAAAAATATCTGAACCTTGAAACTTCATCTATACCCTCCCCAGATATATACATCTAGATGGTACACAGCACAACATACTCCATGGACTTACACCCAGAAAATTTAGATTGCTTTAATAAAAATTTTAAACGGCAAATGTATATAAATTTTTTTTAAAAAAAAGCTTGTCCAAGGGCATTCAGATTAATGGCTTTTATATAATACTCATTATAGTGCCTTGTGACTGCCTCTCTAAACCAGAAGTAAGGGAAAAGCTCATGGATTCCCCTGAAACAAGATCTCACTCTCTTCCCCACCATGGATGGCCTTCTATTAAGATGAATCCCTTTTGTAGGAAAGAGGGCTACACAGGCTGCTGATACCAGTCTAGCGAAGGCACTCACCAGACCACGGCTGTGTTTTAACTTGGGTGTCACACCATCGATTTGAAGAGCCACCTAGCCATGGAGGCTCTGAAGTTAACTAGTTTATCAGTAATTTGGTCCTGGTTGTTTTGCTCACTTTATGCGTGTTTTTTTCCCTTAGATATTATGATACTCTTATAAATTTGTCAGATTGACGCTCTGGAGTTAAAAAATCAAGCTAAACAGTGATGGTGACTTTCATGGTAAAAGATGAGCTAAACCCTAGCTGAGCTACATGGTCGTCAGCCATGGAGCTGGGCTCACGGGCACCAGGTCTTTGCTGCTTGTTACAGTGAATCAGCTCCATGGCTTGACGACAGCAGGACAGAACCTTTTGCCGTGTGTTTGTTCTGTCACTGATTGTTCAAAAGGACATTTTTCTGCATGGAACATAATTTTCTAAACCTGAACTTTGGGAACTTGAATGATTCAAGGTCAGATATTAAACATTAGCTCCTTAATCTACCCCTGTCATTTTCATTATAAAGGAAAGCCTCTTTTTTACATTACTGTGATTCACAGAGTCCTCTGTAAATCAAGAGGTCCCCTTCTCTGTCTTAGCTTTAGCTGTCAGTTGGAAGCCTCAGACTTTTGCACTTTAGGTCATCTAATGTCTTCCAGTGTTTGTAGTTATCGGCCAAATGTTGCATCAGGGCTGGCAGGTGGGCAAAGGCTGCAAGGACATAAAAGAATTAAAGCCTGTTAAGTTAGATCCCAGGAACACTTACAAGGTTGGGGCTCTGTGGGACAAATTTGGGATCAGAAATGGAGAGGTACCCTAGGTTAGGCCTTAGGCGAACACACAAGTGTGAGACGGGTAAGTCTTCAAGCACTGGTTTCCTACATATGAACAGATCCTTTTAATTAAAAGTGGAAAAGCTGTTTATCAGTGATATTACCAAAAGAATCTGTGATTCAGAGTAGCCTTAATTTATTTTGTGTTCTTTCTAGAGTTTCCTCCAATGATACACTAAAGCTCCTGTAAGCTTTGGAAAGATGTCCTTTGAAGAGTTGAACACTTGTTTATCCAGTTATCAAACACCCATTGAGTCTTCTGTAAACAAGGTCTGTGCTGAGGATGCAGAATGTACACGCACCCCCACCATACCTGGCCACACGTCAGCTGACTTCATTTTTTCTTTTAAAATAACATTTCATTTGCACCTTTAGGCCCAGCCTCTGTCACTAAAGGTAATTTTGTGGGTGACAAAATATGAACTATCTTACCATCCCAAGCATCAAACATGTCTGTTATGAAGTAGTCAATGAAGGAGATCTGGGACTTGGGGATGCTACAGGTATTCCGGTCAAACACTGGCATCACCACAGGTAGCCCCTGTCTCTTCTCTTCATCAGTCTGTAAGAAATAACAGATCCAGGGCTATCGGGCACAGGAGAAGCTGTCACAGGAGCATCTAGTTTCTCAGAACCAGTCTGTGAAAGTGGCTCAGCAGCCAGTTGTATAAACGAGGAAACACGCTCAGCAGGGTCCCCAAGCTGCTTATAGAAGACGGCCACCTGATGCGCCACAGGCACTGAATTCAGGTCTTTTGACTCTCAGGTCTCTCAGGCTATCCTCTAGCCCCTCCTGAAGCACTGATCTCACAGTTCACGCCTCTTCTTCTAAAGTCTGTTTTTGTTTTTGCAAGGTCAAGACTATTTCCAAAGTAATACTACTAATACTAAGTGACGTTTACACTGAGGGAGCAGAAGCAACGATGGGTAACATTGCTGATGCCTCAGCGTGAATCACAGAACTGGCACCAACTGTACCAACAGTCGCTGTATTATTCGTTTGCAGTTTAAAAAGAAAGCCAGTTTCGCTTCAGAATGTCTTTATTAAAGCAGTGAGAATTATTAATCTTACTCAGTTTGGCCGTTGAAAATATGGATTTTTAATATTCTGTGTGACAAAATCAGAAGTACATATAAAGCCCTTGTGCTGCATGCACATCAGAGAATGATGGTTGTCTGGATGAAAAGAGCTGAGTTAGCTTCTTTTCTTCATGGAATTAACTTTTTTACTCGAAATAATGACAGACAAACTATGATTGTTCAGACTGGGGTACAGGTCATGCAGCTCTCTCAGCATATGTGTAAATCGGAGTATTTTGCACATTAGAGTGTATGTTTATATGCATATGGTCATAATTCACTGGGCTGAAATTAAGATCCACATTTCCTGGTGGTGTGTAGAGCCAGAGGCCAGCTGATCAGAGACCTCATTTGTAACTTTTTATTTTTAGGTCATATGGACTTACGAATACTACTATTTTCCATTCTGGGAAAAAGATACCACCTAAACAGGGAGCCTACATTAAAGAACTTAAAAGTGGTTGTTTCCCATTCCCTGTTCACATACCTTGAGAGTAACTAGGAGGATTTTAAGTCTTCTCTGCGAGTCCTGGGAAGCCCAGTACTGGCCTCCTACCAGCTTTTGGCCCAGCTTGCTCATTTCAGGTCAGTCGATCAGGCAGCCTTAAAATATCCACTGCTGTTCAAGGAGTGAAGGTTTTTTTTCCCTTCCCTTCTCTTTCTAGCAAACTCAGAACTGCCTGTCCTACTTCTCTTTAATTCATGGGCTATTCCCATCCTTGAAAGCTGCAGCTGACTTACTGGGTCCTTGGCTGGCCTCTTCATCTGCCCCTGCCCACCCTTTTTAGACATCACCAGCTATTATCTATCCTGCCTCCGTGGTACATTACAGCCATGGAGACCCCCGCCTCAAATGCATTACTTGTAGCTACTTGTGACGTACCTGTCTTTCTGTCACACATACTAAACATTAGTTCTCAGAGCCTCTTCTCTGGAAGTAGGCCTATATTTCAAATGGCATATCGTCCTCTACTACTTTCTAGGTTAGTCTCCTTTAACTCTTCACACTGCCAAAGTGAACTATATATATATATATTGCTGCTCTTTTTAGATAAAAATTATGTTTTTCCTCCTTACTCATTTTGCTCACAATGCTCTGTTCTCCCTGAATGTCTTTCCCCATTGCTAAATGTCTAAATCCTTCAAAAAGACAACTGTAATATCATTTCCATGAAGCCCCTCTTATCTAGAAAAAAATCTTTCTGGACGCTCTGAAGACTTAACACTACCTCCTTTAGAAGTGTTTTCATTTTTTTTTACCAATGTGTGGACCTATTTATATCTGTATCTGCCCCCTGCTGTATTATGAGCTACCCAGGGGCAGAGATGTGTCTTACTCATGTCTGTGTTCCCCAGTGCCCCACAGAGAGAATAATCACCTAGTGAATGAATGGGTGATCTCCAGTTTTTGTGGAATTTCAGGGTCTAACAGTTTGAGGATGAAAGGCTACTTCAGAAGGCTCAGTTTATCCCTGTTCCCCTAGAGAGACTGGTTTGCAGCTGGCCACACCAGCCAGTTTCTTGAGTGAACCAGAATTCTCTTCCAGGCAGGGGTGAGCCATTCCTTTCCCAGGAGGAGTCATTTACTTACTTACTATGACCGGGGGCCACTCCCAGAAGAGAGGTGGAGCTTCCCTAGAGAGGCAGCATACCTGTGCAAAGTACTCCTCAGAGATCCTCCCAGCCCATTCGATGCACAGGTCCAGGGGGCGGCATGGGTTGGCCACGTCAGCACATTTAATCATCATGCGCTTGATCAGGATTTGATTTTCAGGAAAGTTCTTCCCAATAGGGTTGCGTTCACAGTCGCTGCCTTCAATCTGGAAAGCAGAATGTCATATCAGGGTTAGTTCAAGATGCTGGTGAAGCCCACAAGTGCTAACTGACCAGATGTTCGATGGTGACAAGGAACGGTCACCCAGGCAAACTTAGGCATGAGACTAGATGAAAGAGGTTTTCCCATCCTTAATTCCATCTATAATACACTGATATGTTCTTGGGTTGGGGCAACCCTCAGGCAATACAAACAGAGCTTAAAAAAAAGTCCCTGTTTCCCCGCACTTCTGTCCTCTTTCCCCAGAGGTTTTGAACTGCTAGGAGCAGGTTTTGTTTTGAATAAATTGGTATGTAATCTTAAAGGAGAGATTTCTCCCAGTTTTATCAGAAAATATGTCAAAGCAGAACTTTCACTTATTTTCAATACATTAAAGATGGGGAAACAGCACACTTACTATACTTACACCTGCCAGCTCCCTCTCTATGACTTTCTGTCCCACTCCTACCTCCTTGCCCATCACTTCCCACTTTGTTTCATTCTCTTGAGGCATGTGTCCGCTCATGCTTCCCCGGCTGCCCTTCCGGCTGGTGGTAGGGAGTGTGAGACGTTTAAGTTGTAGGGGTACTAGGAAGCAGAAGGTGGGCCAGGGCAGGAGCAGGTACATTCAGCCATGTTTAAAAAGACTGGTTGTGCACCAGTACATACCTCATGAGGGATGTGAGTGGTCAGTGGTCCTGCGCCCAGCAGCCAGGTCTAGGAGGAGGCTTATGTAAATGCTACAACAGGCCAATAACACAAAACCTGGAAGCTTGTGATTCCCTACTTTCAAAGATACCATCGAATGGATGGTGTGAAGACAGTTAATTAGCTCTTCAGAGCTCTGCCAAGCTCAAGGACTGCACAGCATTCAAGGGTTTTTGTTCTGCTTCGGGACTGCGCCTATTTATTAAACCATCAATGGGCAGCATTATGTTCTGAAGAGTGGTGGTTTCATTACTTACCGTTGGGAAGATACTGCTTGCTTATAGATACTGCGGTAAGTAAATCAACAGAGTTGGGGGCTTACTTGGATAGATGACCTTCCCAACTCTAAATTTTATGATTCTGTGTTATTTTTCCCTCTTAAATCCCCAGATCCTTGCTCCCATAAGTCCTCTGTGGAAGGAGAGGGTCCTGGCAGTGTGCTGTGGAATCCCTGGGGGATGGAGCAGAACACAGGTGAGGTGGACACTGTCCCTCCATCCAGGCTGGTCATGTGATGGGTCCTATACAGATAGTCTCCATACTGAGCATCAGGTTACTTTTAAGACAACCATTCATCATCCATCCACGTACGCAACCCTCATACAGGAGTGAGTGAGAAGTTTTTCTAACTTTATGGAGCTATGAACAGTTTTTATAGTTTCAAAGGGCAGTTGATCTCATTTTAAACAGTAAGAGATGTGAACCTTCTGTCCATGTTCCTACAACCCAAGTTTGTAGGGACCTTAAGGCAAGTCTAATAAAGTACATGAGTAAATCTGAAAAAGGAAGACGACTTGTGCTCTTGTTCTCAACTAGTCACTCCCAGTTTAATAGGTACTGATAGGCTTTTAATGCAAGTCAGCAGGAATATAATTCTTTAAAATATCCAATTTTGAGGTCTCTCAAGAGTTCAGAGAACAGAGAACTAGGGCTTTGGGTCCCCTAAATACTACAATTTATTCCAGTCTCTGCTGGCTGCAAGCTCCTTTCATCCTAGCCTCTGGGTCTACCTCCTTTTGTCACCACTGGCTTTTACCTCAGGGCCTTTCTTTCATGGAGCTCAGAGTTGCTGTGGACACTGTCCACCTATTCTTGTCCCTAGGGGGAAAGAGTGGCCAGCACTTCCAGCCCTTCCTTACCAACTCCCAGCAAATAACCTTCTTGTATTCAAGAAGGGGAGATTGCTTTCAGTTCAGGGTAGGCTCAAATGGAAATGTACTGTGATGTAGCTTATAACATGGGGAATGCTTACCTCAGCTCCCATTGGCTTGTTGATGCTGTTCACAAATTTGTTCACATGTTCGAAGTGTTTTGTCATTTCTGTTGCTAAAACCATGTCAATAATAGCCTGGCGCAGTGTTCGATAATGGTTCCTAAAATAACGGGAAGACAAAAGGCCTTGTTCATAGTGTGTCCCGAATTAAAACTGTTCTTGCTACCATTTCACCACACTTCCCACAATCTAGGAGGAAGCTGGGGGCCCAGAGTCAGGAAATGAGTGAAGGTCACAAAAAAGTTAACCTGCTCATCTTCCTGCTAATCCAGGACATGGTGACACTTCCATTTTCCCTAAAGATAGCTGACCCTTCCTCATATGATTTATGAGTATATAAAAAAAGGAGAGCACCTGTCACAGGGGCACTTATTTCACAAGGTGGCTCCCTTCTACCATCCCTTGGCAATGTCAAGACAGGGAGGTGGAGAGAAGCGACAAGTTCCTTCCCTACAAGGCAGGTGCAGCAACCCGGTGAGCTGTCCCTTGACATTCAGTGCAGACACACTTATCCTTATTTCAGAGAAGTGTCATTTCTTTTGATGATGGCATTGGAAGAGTTTTTCAATTAGTGAGTAATTCTCTAAATTACAGTTAGATAGACATTGTAACGGATGGAGCAACAATCCTGCTCAAAATCACTGCCCAGTTCCTGTCATCTTTTTCTAACTTCAAGAGCCAGAATGGGGAACTGAATAAAATTGGCCACTGGAAAGAATTCCTCCTGTGAAAGTTTTAAAAACAATACTGGACACTGATGAGGCTTCAACTGAAGGTGGAATAACTGGTCTCCATTTTTCTCAGGTTCCTGGAGACAGGCGGATAGGCGCAGGCTCATGTTGACAAGCGGTCCTTGAGGCCGCGGGTGAGCACTGAGCTCTCCGCACTGCCCTCTCTCAGGAGTCTGCTGTCCAGCCTGCCCCACCCTGGGGGCCCCAGCAGCTCTGCCAGGACCTGTGGAACCCTGCATCCTCATGAGGTAGGATTTTAAGTGGCCAGAATTGAGTTGGGGAGAGACGGGGAAGGGTACTTTTCCCTTGAGTTACACCAAAGACGGGATGTCCTCCTGAGAGGGTAAAACTATCTGATACACTTATTAGCATTATAATCACTTTTTATAGAATGCTTTGCAGTGTTTAAAACATTTCATGAACTTACTGAAGACCAAATGGAGTTTAAAAAGATGAACACAGTCTAAAAAGTACAGTTAAGTTTATAAGGACAAGGTTATTATTTTACTGTCTGATACAGGGGTGTAACTGCTCTTATTTCCCCCTCCCTCCAAGAAGCAGCTAAGTACTTGGTGAAGTTAGGGAAAACGGAGTTTCCTCCTTGCACTTTACAAACCTGAGCACAAGAGTCTGAGCACACGAACCTGTCAATATTCTTGAAAATGTTGCATTTGCTGTCCTTGACCGTGAGCTGGAAGGCCAAGGCTGTGTGGTGACTCTCCAAGACAGCGGTGTCATTATAGAGCACGGCGAGTTCACTGCCTGCATTGCACAGGAAAGAATTGGTCCTTCCCGGGTGATCCACGTCGTGGACTGTAGCAGCAATCAGAGCAGCCACCTCGTCTAGCTGATCGAGGCTTCCCTGGGGTGAGGAAGACAAGGCTGAGCATTATCCACTGGATGTTGGGGACCTACACCCATCCCTGTCTCCCGGGAGAAGATGGGCCAGGGGATCCTCTCTGACTTCCCTACAAGTTGGGAGGGCACCTAGGATACATCCCATCACACTGCTCTGCTGTGAATTATCTGGAGGGAAACAGAAACCTCAGCTGTAGTTGTAATGGATCCTAAATTCTTTTTCCAGAGTCCATCCATCCTACTTCTCCTGCAGGAAGATGCCAAACAGGCCTTTCAAAATGCATGCCGTGTGACATAATGCCATGACTCTCTTCCATGAGCAGACAGAGAAGGAAGTGGCCTAGGATCACACGTGCTACTTTGTTCGCCTACTTCTGAAAAGACTTGAGAGTGTGGCAGTAAATGGCACAGATACAAGAAAACTCTTCACGTGAAGATAAAAGGATTAGAACCAAGCCGCATGAGAGAATCAAGGACAAAAAGAAGAATCTTCCCAGGAAGACAGGCTAAGGGGGCTCTTGCAGTTAAGAACAAAATTCATCTCTGGGTTACAGGTGGCAAAGGCCAAAAAGGAGACCCTGTTTCCAACGCTCTCACTATATAATTAAAGGACACAAACCACAGTATCAGGGGATACAAATGTTTTCTCAGCTCACAGCTCTGGGAGGAAGTTATCAAATGGGCTACTGTTACCTGAGACACTGTACTTTATGAACTCATGCCTTCAGTCATTTATTGGACGCTTCCTGGGTGCTGGTCGTCATGCAGAGAGCTGGAGTTAGGGGCATAAACTGCGCTGGCACAGTCTCAGCACGTCTCGCAGGCAGTCACTTTCGTCTGTGTACTTACCTGTGCTGTGTGCTTCCTGCAGTGATTTATCAGTAGTGCAAAGAGGGAAGTACAGATGGTTTGACAGTAACCATGAGGCCTGATCTAGTACAGGGCAGTGCTGGCCATTCAGTTTTCTGTGGGGATGGAAATGCCTGTATCTGGGCTGTCCAGTAACCTCTAGCCACTTATAGCTCCGGACACTTGAAACGTGGCCAGTGCAGCTGAGGAACTGAATGTTTCATTTTATTTACCTTTAATTAAATGTGAACTGCCACATGTGGCTAACGGCTACTTATTGGACAGTGCAGGTTGAGTGCAAGGTGTGGGCATGGAAGTCATCTCTTAGGGAGTGACTTTCATTTTGGAGCCTGAAGGATAAGCAGGAATTAGCCAGCAAAACATGTCAAGGGAGAGAATTCCAGGCAGAAGGAACAGCTTATATGAATCTCCTGTTGTGAAACAAAAAAGTAGTTTCTTCAGGAAACTTAAAGAGCTTCATTGTGGCTGAGTGAGGGGAAAAGTGGTCCCCAAGATGAGGCTGGAGGGGTGGGCATAATTTTTGGTTTTCCCAAGTTGCTTTCCTAGGCTGTGGGAGAAAAAACGGCAAACTGCTTCTCAGATGCTAACAGGTAAGGACCAGTCAATCTGAAACTCAGCCCTGAAAACCTTCCTGAAATCTGCCCCGACCAGCAGGGAGCCATATCCATTTCCAGTCCTGACCTGGAGCTGGTGGCCAATCAACTTGGCCTCAGCCCATGTGAACGGGTTTCCTGAGCCGAGCCAGCAGTCGATGCTACTGTTTTCAGCTCTTCTCAGAGATTGATTATGTAAGTACCCAGGGCAAGCAAACATGCCTAGCCCCATTGGCCCCATCACGCTGCCCATCAGGACCCAGAGCTGCCCCAACGTGGGCTGATTCTAGCTGTGTAGTGAGGCCCCAAGAGGCCCCAACTTCAGGCTTCCGGCTAGTGCTCTTGGAGTATGTTCAGTCATGTTCGGAGTATGGGGCCAATTTATTTTCATATCTGCAATGAAGGAGATTCAAGTAACTGAAGCAGACAACAGTAGCATTAGGCGAGACGTGCCTGTCCTTCCAGCTTACACTGACTTGGACCTGACGCTTGTACAAAGGTACCAATAACAGGCCACGCCCTGCCTTTTTGATGAGCACTGTCTAATAATGCCATGCCTGATGAAACAGGGGGAGGGAAAGAAGACTTGGCTTCTTACTGGCAGATGGGAGAAGCAAGATCCCCTCTAAGGGAGGGAGAGACTGTCTGTGGAAGAAAACTTCCTCACCAAACCCGCCACAGTAGGAATTCTAAACCGCTGGAGGTGCTGACATTTCTGCATAGTGTTTTTCTTTCTTTAACTAGCAGGAGTAGATTTGTACCACAGTGAAGCAGACTGGCCAGAATGGTCTCCATTCTGGATTAGCCTTTCAAACAGTTGCTTTTCTAGGACAGTCACTTACACTCAGAAAACAACAGAAAATGCTGGCTACTCTGACCTCTCCACTTGCAGTGGTTCCTGGGAACTGTTAAGAGTGGGGAGGGGACAGGGTCTGTAACAAATTGAAGGGGAATGTCAGCTCTGGACACGTTACCTGTACGGTTGGGTTGAGGACGTGGAGCTCTGTCACAGTGACATTAAGAATTTTAGCCTTATAAAGAAATTAGGGACGACAGATGACATGGGTATTTGGTGAACACATTTTTCTGACTCTGTCAGTGGCAGCAGCTCTGGTGGAAGTGGCCTCAGGAGTAAATGCCACTTGGAGCGCCCCGCGATGGGCTATCCAGTGATCTTGGGCTGCTCACTAAACCTCTGAGCTCAGGAGTCCCTTTCACCTCAACCCCCTAGGTTCCTTGTAGCTCTGAATTTTCTGATTCTTTGGCAGAGACCGCCAAAGTTAGAAAATGTCTTTTGAATTACAAGCACACGGTATCTAGTCTTGGACTTGTTTCTATTGCTGCTATTTGAGAATTCAGTCAGACTCTGAATACATTACTAGAACAAACAATTTAAAGAAAAAATACTTATTTTAGGGGATCGTGAATAAAAGAGATCATAAAGTGACTAAGCATTCCCTAATGTATCAAGCATTTTATTTATTTTTCTAGAGTGGTTCTGCTTAAGTGAGGTTCATCTTTAACTCAAGGCTGCACTGCCTGTGGATCCCTTTGGTCTCAGTATTCATGCCCTCGGTCCTGCCCTCATTCGGCACGTGTGACCTCAGCTGTACAGTATCTCACAAGGTACAACATGGAGGAAATGAACCTGCAGTAGGGATCTGGAAGGATCTTAGCACCTCAAAGAAAGGTGCTATAGAAACACAGGCTGATAGCACCTGTATTGTCACCTTTTTTAAAAATTAGGGGACAGAAATCTTCAAAAGCATCATTCTTGAACCACTTTCTTTTCTTGCTAATGAAAGTAAATGCCAGGATCAGTCTGTGGCAACACTGAGAAGGGAACGTTCCCTCCTCCCCACTTTGGTGCCATTTCTACTCCTACCTATCCCACTACCATCCTTCTCCTTAAGTATCTAGAGTCTTAAGACTGAGAAAATTACCTCATACCAAGCATTTGCAGATTGATGTGAATCTGCTTCTATACAGCACTTCTCCAAGGGGTATCTGTATTCTAAGCTTCAATTTTAATTGTAGCGAAGGAATTACATGCTTCACGGTGCAAATGGTGGTAATTGGGAAAGAGGGGAGATAAGGACCTCTTGCCAGCTATGCATGGCGTGTACATAGGGCTCCCCCCAAGTCAATACCTGTAGATGACAGTATGGACTTCCAGGTAAGATTAAGGGACTTGGAACTCTTAAGAACTATGCAAGTCATTAATATACAGATTTACACATGTACACCTACACAGAACACACATATATGTATGTAAATGAGCAGGATGCTGAATGGCTCATTACTATGTGGACCATAATGTACCAATAGCGAAATTCTGAACCTAAAATTTAACCTCTAGACCTAGTAATCATTTGCTATAGTAATTAAATTCTGTCCTGTAACCCGGTCTCACAAAGGGCTCCTAGTAAACATTTGGAGAATAGGTTCAGGTATCAGCCAGGCATGTAAAGGAGTCCCTGTGGTGGCATAAATTATTTTAAGCATTTTTGGGGAAGGGAGGACTAGGAGAAAAGGCCATGTCATTACAACACCAAAAGGATCAATTTGGTAGCACAAAAAACTCAGATTGGTTCCAAAACAGCTGTTTGCCAGATACATTTCTTAAGATTGAGTTCTTAGATCTCCAAAACCTAGGCAAGTAACTTGATCGTGTTATCAAAATTCTACCTTTACTCTCTCCTTTCCGAGGAAGAAGGCGGTGGCGTGCAGCACGTCCGCGGCGTGGGTGGAGTTGTGGTAAGCGTTGGAGGAGTGGTAGTTGGCTTCAATCACTTGCAGCCAGGCCCGCAGAGTAGTTTCAGAACAGTGTAAAAACTCACATACTCCGAACCGGGAAAAGATCTTTAATCCCAGGTAAACCAATGGCCTGCAAACAAGAAAACAAACCCTGACTCACTGTATTCACTGCTCCAGAAATTGCTTTCTTTGTAGATACTTTATACTTACTGCACAAGCACAAGGGTATAAAAATGTGTCCTCTCCAAATCAGGAGATAGAGCATCTCCCCTTCACCAGGCACTTCCTGAAAACCAGGTGCCTCAGGGTGGTTAATCCAAATGACCTCTAGACAGTCTCTAAGTTATCTGCCTTTCAGTGGCTCTAACAACCAAGAAACATCCCTGACAGTCGCTCTCCATCTCCGCTTCCACATAAGCTCTGCACTTCCTTTGTGTCCCCTGAGGAAGTTACTGAGCCCGAGGACAAAAGGGATGGCTTGCGTGGGTTCAGCACAGTCATGTCATTTAGAGTCAAGTTATTTATAGGTGAGTAGCATTCATATCCTACAGACCAACACCCCTGGAAGAAACAGACTTCTGCAACAGAAGGGGACTTTCTGAGTTATCTAATCTTTCCCTTACCTATAGGATGGATCCAAAGAAAAGTCTTCAGTGCTGTCAGACTCATTTTTTAAGGTGCTGAGAGTTTGGGGCTGAGAATACCTGGAACCCTTGGCTCACTGGCACAAAGGAGTGACTTGGGTAGATCTGGAAAGGACACTATTATTTCTTCGTCCTGGGTCATCACCAGGCTGATCCCACATCTTACCCACTAAAACGCTTCTCCATAAAGGTTCTCACTTAAGGGGCCATAGTCCCTGCTCATTTCTCCAGCATGGAATGAAAGGCAAAACCTCCGAGGTCTTTTGTGGCAAGGATTCACATCTCCCTCAAAGTTTTCGGACGTGAAAGTCTAGAGTGTGGCCATCAATCCTCCCATGCCTGCAGACAGAGAAGCACATACCTTTTATGTGTCACAGATTCCAGTTCAAAGATGTTGAACTCCCAGCTTTCCTCATTATCAAGTAATTGAGCAATAGAAGGAGGGACGTCATTGATGGTTATTGGCATCGCAAGGTGACTGTGACTCTGGTGCACATCTGGACAAACAGATGAGGTAGGGAAGGGCGGTTAACTGTGGAATTGTGAGTGCTGCTGAGCATCTGCCATCTTCATGGTTGCCACTAGAAAGAAAGTCTTCAACCTCGAGGGGTAAAAAGAATTTCACTTCAGGGTTCCCTTACATTATTGAACTTCAAGACCCCCAAATAGAAAAATAATCCGGTTTAACTAAATTTAAATATATAGAGGTTTGCAATTCCTATTCTGACAGTGCTCAGAGAAGTAATTTAAATTAGGAGAGCTGGTTTCAAATGTAGACCACATAAACTCCAGTGAGACCAACAGGAAGTATCACCAAGGCCCTCCTCAAATAATAATCACAACACTGGGGGAGAGACAGACCAGAGACAGGTTACCAGTAACAGATGGAGAGAAGACAACTTACTCTTAGTGAACACATACTCATTTCCTGACAACCTTCTTAAGCCATCCTGGAATAAAGAGAGATGCTGTGAGAAGCATGCTTTACTGGCCATTATCATTACTCCCCCATTTCTTTTATTAGCCAGAGAGAACTGAATCCTGATTAACCCAGCCCATCTGGAACTCCAAGTTGAAGCTCAGAATCAAGTCAGAACAATAGCTACAGAGCAGAGGATACTCTCCCCTCCACGGCTTTTAGCCCCAGGAGACGGAGAAGTGAGAATAAAGTGGCTGTGACTGCACTCAGGCCTCACACCTGAGCTGTGAATTGGCTCTGTTCTCCTGCCATCTTTCTCCTGTGGCATTTTGAAGCCACATTAATGAGACCAAAGAAGTGATCTTGCTTTGGATGCTTGTTAATTTGAAAGGACCCCACTTACCGTCGTAGGGACACTGTTATTCTTGTGTTCTTAGATTTATATCCTGGGGAGCCAAAGCCATGGGCCACATTTTGGGGATGACTTAATGTAAAGCCTTTAAAAGGTTAGGCTAATTTTTTATCTAATATCTAAATTAACTTTTTTTCCAACTGTACTTTCTATCTTGCAGCATGAGCTTTGCTGCTAGCCTTTAAAAGAATTTTCTGGATTTGAGGTCTTTGGAAGGGCAGCATAAGGGAGTGGACAGAATTCTGGTGTTCTGCCATTTACTAGGTTCTTGAACTTGAACTCGTCCCCAGATGTTCTTGCATCTCCGTTTCCTGTCCCCTACCCCTGAGTACCTAATTATTTAATTCTTTGCCTAAGTCATTTACAATTGCTTATTTGTCACCCCTAGAAAGCATGTGCTAAGATTTAAAGTATTAGTGAAGGGCTCCCCTGAAGTGACACCTTGGATCTTTAGGCCAAGAGCTGAATTTTGAAAACTAGATAAATAGGTAAGTAACAATGGCCGTTACGGTCCTACTTCTAAGGCAGGTATCACAGGGAACTCCTCTGTTTTTAACCTGCCTTTATTTCTCCTCTTGCCCAGTGCTACATGACCTGGAGAGGAAGCCCAGGAGGGTGTGGCGCAGGGGGAGGGCGGGCAGGTACCTTGTTCTAGGAACCAGTCTTCCTGCCGCAGCTCCGCAGTGGCCAGCGCCTCCTGGCAGACCCTTGCCAGTGTTCTTTAGAACTGAGGTCTACACTGCACTGGGATGGGGCAGCCAGGGCCAGCCCAGGGGCACTCAAGGAAGAGGAGGTCACTCAAGTTACGGGCTCATCAGAGACCTTTAGTAGGAACACGGAGAACTGGCCAGAAAGCAAGTCAATACTCAGCGTTTGGTGACAGGAGCAGACAGAAACCTTCAAAGTAAAACTCTTAGATGACTTGGGCCTCATTTTCTCCCAAAGAACTCTTCCGGCTTCAGCCTCCAATAAGGAGCACAAATGAATAATCTGAATTTTCTTTTTCTTCACTTGCTGATAGATGATTACAGCCAAACAGATCACATCAGAAACACTGGAACAGGATGGCTCCTTAGAATCGGCTACTTTGGGGGGTTACATGTGGTGGTACTGGAGTGCTGGCAGGGGGTGGCTTCTCCTCCCCTCCCCGTACCAAGCCAGAACAGCTCCACTCTGCTTTTACTGATTATAAAGGGAACTCCATATAAAGCTTTTACTCAAAGAAAGAATTCTACAGCTAAGATTCTGCAAACTGGTGCTGTCCTCGAAGTACCAACCCTCCCATTGTATAAAGAGTCTGAGGTCGAAGGAAGCCTAGCCCTAACCCTCAGTGGAATACTGTGCCAGGTCAAGGGGAACAAGTAAACAAGGGCCCACTGTGCATTTTTAGCCTTCAGTCAACTATCCGTTTAGTCTTTGCTGAAATAAAATTCCGAAGGACGAGTTCTGGGCACAAGTGATCCGTCTGTGCTCCTGCAGCTGCTTCTGGTTAAGCTGATGTTGGCCCATTGAGCAGGTGTTTCCACACCCATGGGTAACAGTGTATGTGTTGTGTGTTATATGTATTCTGGGGTGAACCTAATGTCATCTGCCCTGTATTTCTAGTTTTCCCTCATCACTCACAGTCATCAGGCCTCCCACGAGGTCACTGGTGTGAGGGTCTTCATCTTTGGTACCCAGCTGTGGGGAGTATAGTTCTGTGGTCCGTAAAATTTCTAAAACTCTGTCCAAGGCTTCTGCTACTGTGACAGGACTATTTTCTTGGGCTGCATTGATTATATTTATAACCTAAGGATGTAAAGAGAGAGAAAGAATACATTTGAGGACATTAGGATTCTTCTTCCCAAAAGTCATACGAGTGCCCAGACTCTAAAAGAAATCAGGTGATAACACATCTTGTTGCTCACAAAGGACTAGTGCTTTCACAGCACCACTCCCTTCTTCCTGAAGCGTGCTTTTCACCCCACCTTCTCCCAGTGTTTCTCCTGCTTTGGGGACCATAATTTCTCAGGCTCCTTTGCCGACCCTTCTCCTCTAGCTCTCTTCTGCAGGTTGGCGTTCCTCAGAGATCAGTGCCGGGCCTTCCTCTCACTCTACAGTCCTTTCAGAGATGAGCTCTTTCATTTCCATGACTTTGGACATACATGATCCAGATGCCAAGGACTCTCAGATCTACATCCCAGCCCCGACCTCCTTTTTGACCTTCAGATTTATATACTCAATTGCTTGCCTGACATATCTATTGGAATATCTTGCTTACATGTCCAAAACTAAACTCATAATCTTGTTCCCCTCTTCCCAAAGCAAACATAACCAAAAAATGAAAGACAAGAGCTGTTCTACATTGCAGTGAAAAAACCACTTCTATTAATCTTGTGCTCAAACCAAAAACATAGGAGGCCCTGGGTGACATACCACTTTTCCTGAATTCTCTCCCTGCATGACAATGTAATTCATCATCAAGACAAGTTGAATTTACCCCCAAAATATTTACTGATCTGTCCATTTCTCTCCAACTCCACTACTATAATTCTAGTAGAGCTAACACCATTTCTTGCTTGGAATTCTGGAAAAGGTCCCTAACTAGCATCTTCTCTTTCATTTTTGCCAGCTCCATCCCATTCTCTGCAGGGCAGCTGGGTGTTCTTTTCAATAAACACACTTGATCATGTCACTCCACTACTTTAAACTCTCCAGTGATTTCCATCACGCATTAACTAAAACATGAACTCTCTATTACAGCCCAACTGGCCAGAATGAACTGAGCCCTGCGTAACGGTGTCACCATCTTCTCCCCTCTGCTCTCCCAGCTCCAGTCACACTTGACTCTCAGGTCCTCAGCTGCTCCATCCCCCACTTGTCCCACCTCAGTTCTCATCCCTTGCCGTGTCTGCTGCCTAGAGGCCTCTCCTCCCTCTTCTCCGTTTCAGGTCTTCTCCCTTCAGGTCTTACTTCAAACGTTACATCCTCTACAGAGAGATCCCTGACCACCCCTCTCACCAACCAAAACAGGGCCCTAACCTGATTTTCTCTCATAGGACCCTGCTGTTTTCCTTTATAGCAGTTTTTGTTACTTATAACTATGTATTATGTGTTTATTTAATATCTGTTTCCTTTACCAGACTGTAAACTCTATGATATCAGTAGTCTGCCAGTCATTACTTTATCTCCAGAATGGAGCCCAGTGCTCAGTGGCCCTGACTGCAGAGTAGAGGCCGCAGCTGCCACTCACCTTTGTGATGGGAGCCTCGATAGTCATGGAATGAATCCTCGCCATGGATGGGTAGCGACGATTCTGTAGACTTGGTGCTGCAGAGAAGTCAAGAAAATTGTATCTGGTTTTGGTGGCTCAGCTTGGCTTAAGTGCAGGAATCCTTCATGGACTGGGGGCCTGGTTCTCACAGGACTGCTGTTCTGCAGTCCCCCCACAAAGCAATGAATTCAACCATCTCTTAATCCGAAAAGGCTGATAGCTCATCCAGTACTTGCCAGGGTCTGGAAAGGGTGGTCTGGCCTGGAACTTTGATGGCAGGAAGGCTTTATGAGTCTCAAGTCCACAAGGGGAATTTCAGAGAGGGTTCATGAGATCCTGAGGCCTCATCCCAACAGCCTGATGATCCCCCAGGACTCACTTTCCTGTAAGTCGCTAAAGCCCAGCGTGGGCAGTTCTGTCACTTTCAGTCTCAGCCGCTGACCATGTAACTGGATGAGTACAGTGCAGAAGGGCAGGCGTGGGCCATGACTAGGGCGGGGGTCAGCAGGAGAATGAGCCCACGCTCAGTGGAATTGGGGCCAGGCACTCCATCCACTTTCCTGAGTATTTAGGTTCTTAATACCAAGCTCTCATCTCTAAAAACTCAGCTAATCCAGTTGAAATTCCCTCATCCATTATCCTTTCCATCTGAGATATTCTATCTATCTACACCGTCAACCCATCTGAAAATATTTCCATTCACCTGTTCTTGACATTCCTGGTCCCCATCCCTTGCGTGCCATGTGATTTATCCATCTTCTCTAAATTACGCATCTTATGTCTAAAGTCTTTGGTCCTTGCTAGTTCAGCCACTTGCCTCACACTCAGGTATCCCAGTGTGACTTGAAGGACAGCACTGAGGAGTGACCTAGTTATTGAAACTGAGCTGCTCTGGTGTTTACATGGCCTAACACACTTCAGGCCATAAAGAAACACGCATGGAGTCATTTCCAAGAGAAGATAAAGACTGTAAAAAGTAAAAAAGAATAAGAAGGCCTAAAAATTTTTCTGCCTACAGGGAAAAAAAAGCCAGTTTAGTTGTGATCCTGCTCCTGGGGCTTTTGTTCACATGCTGATGAATTCTTGAATATATTCCTCTGCCATTTTCTACATTTTAGAGTCAAGGAAGTCTGAAAAACTTCTTACCATCACTGCCTCGAGATGATATTGACTTCACATCAATGGACTCTTTCCTCCTGTTCTTGTATCTGAATGAAAGTGACTCTGAGGAATTCAGATTAGTAATGGAGAGTGATTAGTTTTCAGCGTATTCACAGGTGAAGTTTAGACATTTTTTCCCCTCATTCTCCAAAGAAAACAGGGTTACTTTTAAAGCACTGTCAAATATTTTTAATAATAAACCACTTTCCCTTCAAATCATTGGCACACACACAGTTATCGTCATACTAGTTGTAAAGTGACGCCCTTTTCTCATGGTGCCGTATCACATTGTAATGGGGCTTATTACTACAGGTTGTTTAGTTCCATGAATAAATATCTCCTTAAACACTGGAACTTGGGGGAAATCTGGGGGGTGGGGTGGTCATAATAAACTGACCTGACGGATAATACATTTAACTGGGTGGGGAAATCTTTTATGGAGATATTTGAATAAGAGAAATAAAATATTAGTCAAATTTACAGAGAGTTGAATTTATTTGAGAAACTAATTTGGACCAATTTTAGGCCCCTCTGAAAAGTCAGACCCATAGATGGTCTTCAAGGTTCTTCTGAGAATATAATTTCATCAGATGATTCAGACTGTTGATCCCAGGAAGGAAGAGAAGAAAAATTGGTTTTATAACCCCATCAATTTCACTTTCACTTTTGTACCTGTTTTCTGAGGGGATAAAAAGCACTTTAAAAAATCTATGTTTAGTCTTTGCAGACTTTGAATTTAATGTCTCAAAATGTGCTGTCACATTGATGCAAGATCTAATCAAATGATGGATGCCACCCGTGAGGACCAGGGGATAAATATGTCAGGACAGCAGGGGTGGCTTCAGAAACCTGCAGTCTCGGGGCATTTTCTTCTTGTGGGACTAACCCATAAGCAAGGAGAGAAACTTAACCACAACACAGAATTTCTCCTCACTGTGGTAAGAGAGGAGGCAGGTGTGCAGGTTTCAGTAGGGAGAATGCTTTTCTCAGACACCAATAAATGATCATATCCAAGAAAGAACAAAAAGATGCAATGCTTTTTAAAGAATTGTCTAATGAGACCGAAAAAAAAAGTGCAAGAAAGCATAGTAGTTAAGAGAACCCGTTTCAGAGTCAAAATGCCCAAACTCAGATCTCCACGATGCCAGCTAACAGCTGTGAAACCTTGGGACTGTTTCTCCGCTGTGTCTCAGTACCCACATCTGTGAGGCGGCGACAGTTACAGCATCTCATTCATAGGCTGTTGTCAGATGTAAGTAAGTTAACTCATGGGTGGCACTTAGAACACTGCCTGCTACATAGAAAATATGTAGTTCATGCGGCCTGTTGTTAATTACATGTGTACATTTGCATATATATCTTCTTTTTAGGCACACATAGGATCATATTATATTATTGTTCTATTGCTGTTTTCACTTTATGTCTGATTCAGTTTTAAAAAGGTTAAATCAGTAGGTAAACTGAATTATATTTATACAGCATGAAGAGAAAAGCAGGACTACTATAAAATTAGCCTGAAGAATACAGCCGTAAGGCCTTGTCTTAAATTACCTAACTTAAAATATTTAGTATCCCTTTGCCTAATTTTCTTCCAGACTCTGCCTTAGTAATCTTCCTGGCTTTGGATATGAGTTTTTTCAAACCCTGAGAAACTAATAGTGGTCATTTGCACATGATTTTTTGTCTATTAGGGACTTGATAATCATATACACTGCTACCGTTTGTTTACCAAATAACAAATTAAATCTAATTTATTAAAGATTTAAGATTAAATTCAGGATTAAAGAGCACAAGAATTCCTCAAAATGTAGTTTCTAAATAAAACTAAACTAAGGAGTCTACTGTTATGGCTACAGCCCAGGCTGGATTGTTGAATTCTAAGTCATTCATTAAAAACTGTTCAAAGATGGATAATGCTTATTCTTTCTGATTTTTTTTCTTAGCTGAAATTAAAATCTTTAGCAATAGAAAAGACTAAAAATTTGGAGAAATTATTTCTTCA